CCTTTTTCTAGTAACAAAGAAACATTTAGAGTGAAGTATCACTTCAGACATCTCAGAATACCACAGACATCTGCATGGAACTGTCAGGCAGGACACAGGACCCACAGATGTCCATCTGGTGTACACTAGTGTTTCTCAGTGACACTACATGCCCATGTTTGCGCAATTGAGTCCCACTCCTAGAGGATTCTTTACCTAAATAAAGTAAGGCACAACATGTTAGACACTAGAAACTAGAATTTGCCCTTTTTATGCATAATGCTTTTAAAGCACTTCTGGACAGCAGCTCTTCTGACTGCTTTATACACTTCTTTTAGAAGCAGCTGGCCTGAGGTGGCGTTAACATAAGATTTTTAAGATGTTAGACTGGAAATACATTTCCTTCATGATCTTGTGTTATTTCAAAGTCTGATCTTCTGTAACTAACTCCACCACGTCAGCCATCTGACAACTACCCAAATTTTCATTATTTAAATTTTATATATATATTCAAACCAATAGCCCCAGAATTATTTTACAGAACGACTTCCTTTTCTTTATATAGCTGCTATCTTACTTCCAGGTAAATTCTGTTATGGCAGTTTAAAAGCTTGCTTATTTTTAGTCTCCTGTCCTTTCCTCCCACTCCTCTTTTGTCTTTTCCTTTGGTACTCAGTGGTTGTCTATGTGAATGGTTACTGCTAAAGCAGAAGAAAAGAGCAGGAGGGAAAAAGATCCTAATTTCCTGAAACTGAAGTCTTTTAAGATGTTGTATTTCTTTTTTTCCTGGCCACCTAAAAATCTGCCATAGAGCGTGTAAATACATATATTTTTTGTCTTAGCCAACTCTCAATCCACCTAAAACAGAGCAAGGCAGAGTGATCAAGGTATGAAAAGGCTCTCATTAATTACGTGATCCGAGGTATCCATGGCATCTATATGGAGTGGAGGGGAGGGGGAGACCTGTGTTCTTGTGGAGTAATGGCTGGAGCCACATGGACTATTACCAGACCTTGGTAACTGAACTGAGCCTGCAGATGTTCAGTTTAGCCCTAGATAAATACATGTGGGTGCGTAGCTGCAGCCCTCTGTTACCTCCCATGACATCACACCCTTGAATTACACCTCTCCTGAGACAGAAGAGGTGAATCCTATGCCAAATCCTTAATCTGTAGACATGTCTAAGGTACATGGCAGACAAAGCCCAGTAAACTTCTGCACAGCCACCAGACCCACACCTTGGGCCATAATCCTGCTACGTTGTGTTGCATTAAAGGTTCCTTCGAATATGAACAGTCTTTCTCCTCACCTTCCCTCACCTCTCTGAGGAGCGTGTAGCGGTTTCCAAGCTCAGCCAGCAGATCAAGAAGTCAGGGCGAAATAGTTACTTTTTCACCCTTCTCCACTGGAGAAAATGCAACAACTGAAATGGACACCCTTCCTGGTCCCCTCACCAGCGATGGCTTTCCAAGAGAAGCCCAATTTCCTGTTCAGATTAGAGGTAAGCTCCATTTTTCTTGCTCTTCTTGCAGTCAGTTTTGGCTTTGAAATAAAAGCTCAGTCATTGCTACAGGATTGCCTTATCAGTAATGCTGTCAGAGAGGTGGTTATTTAAAATGTCTACCAGTGAAGCTGGACTTAGCCTCTTCTTTGCTCTTTTGCAAAGTCAATCTGTTATGCGATAAAAAGCTGGTCTCTGTACATACAAAGGAACACACAGGCATTAACAGGCAGGAGAACCCCAACGACCCATTCAGATAAACAGGCATCCTAACCGAGCTCCTCCCCGGGCAGTCCTAGGAGAAAGCACAAGCTAATGGACCAGGGGCACCATCCATCCTGGCGAGTCAGCAGGAGCAGCTCTCCAGACCCCCTGAGGGAGGATTACTACCTCAGGGTACAGGACACATTTTGGGATGCTGGCAAAGACCATTTCAGGATTGCACAAGACATGTAATGGCATGTTGACAGGAGGAACCAAACGTAGCGAAGGGAAGGGATCAAGGTGGCTTGGGGAGGAGCAGGCATGGAAAAATAGAAGGAAAGGAGGATAAAGAGTCAATTAAGTGTAAACAGTGCTTGTTGGTACACTTGTTTAGCCATGCCCAGTGCCTGATCAGCATAGTTGTCCTGTCTACTCCATTTGTAATTATTTTGTTGGGTGAGGAGGCTCTCTATTCTGCAGGCATGCGCGTCTATAGAGGTATAAATGTGAGCAACTGAGTGGGTGAAGGTTTTTATGTCAGTATGTGATCACTAGCAAACTTAAAAATGGTCCGAGTAGGTTAGTGGCTTGGGAGCCAGATATGCAGGTTTCCCACAGAATGAAGAAATAGAGGAGAGCTACCAGAGAGACCAGAGGGCACAGGCAAGCTCCTAGAAAGACTGTGGGGTCTCGTGGGGTCAGCTGAGACACCTGTTTCGTGTGCTTGACTATCTCTGTAGAGGAAGAAACTGAGAGCAAGGAAACAGGAGCAGCTACCGGATGGACGGTGTATCCAATCCCAGTTACCACAGAAATCCATATAATGTATATTCCCCAGTAACACACCTTTATCCTTATCAGAAACAAGGTGAGCAGGAGGCTGCTGGTGATGCCTGTGGCTGTATGAGCACCATTTCTGCATGAGGTGTGTGGCTGACCATGCACACATGCATAATTTATAAGTGCACTGGGGTGTGTGTGTGTGCGTGTGTGCCTCTCTTAAAGAGTGTTTAGGGCAAAAGGTGCATTACTGCATCTCAGAGATGTTAGGCTGACAGAAACTGTGCTCTGGATTTTTCTGCAGTTTTCAGACAGGGACTGTTACCCTGCTCTCTAAATGCTGAGGGGAAGAGCCTTTTAGAAGTGCAGAGGAGCTCTATCACTGGACCTCACAGGATGTAAAAGACAGTGAGGAATACAGCAGATACCAGAGGTACGAGGATCAGAACTGCACTGTTGGATCTCCAAAGGGTTAGGACCAAGCTGCTGTAATGGTATACCTTCGAAGTTGTAAGGTGGAGGGAGCTTACTACCAGATACCAGAGCTGTTGAGGCTGAGAGGCTGGATGTTAAAGCAGGTATAAGCACTTTCTCCACAGGTGCTAGGAGTAAAAGGACTGCATGATTAAGTCTCTGAGCTGCTACTGGCAGAGGGTCTGACCACTGCATATCACAGGATGTAGGGACTGTGCTGTTGGATATCAGATACCACAGCAACACAGAGGCTCTATTGCCAGGTTTCAGGGTGTAGGAGCACAGCAGCAGAACTCAGAACATGGCGCAGGAATTCAATCTGATCCTTCTCACATATTGCTGTTATGTTTTTGTCTTCGAACATGGCGCAGGAATTCAATCTGATCTTCTCACATGTTGCTGTTATGTTTTTGTCTTCCTGGTTGAAGAAGTTCAGCTAGCTAGGGAGAGAAGGGCAGGGGAAGCTGAGTAATATCACAGATGTGATTCAGCTTCTTCTGCCTCTCCTGGCAGCCAGCAGGGTTCCTTTAGGCAGCTCTTGTAACTCTCCACCTCATTTCCCTCCTTTGCCTTAACCACAAGACCATCTAAAGCATCAAACAAGCCAAACTTCTGCAGCACAGCTGCACACAATTTTGCAGTGGTAGGTCAGACTTATTGTAGGACAGAATGACTCTTTCAACTAGGTAACTTCAGGACTTGCTGCAGCCATTGTCCCTTTCTGCACCCTCAGAGGTACCTCTTGAGTTCAGGTTTCCATTCATTGGCTTTTTGGAGCACAAAATGTTTCCCGTTATAGTTCAGCCCCAAAGGTCCTCTTTCCCACTCCTCAAGGAGATCTGCTCTGCTCATAGCAATGGATACACCAGCCCTGTGATTCTTAATCTTGCAGATGGGCACATAAACTTTTAGCTACAGTCAGATTTCTCTTACATAGGGAAGCAGAAGACAGCAACTCCCCCAGGGAAAAGAGGAGAACAAGAAACAAAAGCCCTAAATGGAACAATAACTAGAGGTAGAGTTAACAGCCTGACCAAGTTGAGTGAAATCCTGGAAACTGCACAACAGGGTTTTCACATTTACCACTCCTATAATTTACAATCCATTTTTGGGTTAAGCATACAAAGGCACCTGCTGGGCACAGAAGTGGCTCAAACTCACAAGTTTTAATAGCATTTTTAGTTTCTAAAATATATCTATATATCCCACATAGTGCTCCCTCACAGAGATGGAAAATGCTACAGTCCTGCAGGCAAGGTCAGGCCATAGACAGCACAACCTTTACAAGAGCAAGGAGCTGGTGCATCCCACGCAGTGAGGGGGACGCCTGCACCTTGATTCGTTCTGTGACTGGCAGGGCATTGAGGAATTGAAATTTGTTTGCAAACTTGAACCGTGCACAGAATGACATTTAGTGCCTGGCTATAGTAAATTAGGCTGAAATTGCAACTGAAGAGTGAATAGTGAATACTTATTACTTGTGGTCACATGGTCATTTGCAGTCCTTGCTCTTACGAATCCCCCTTAAGCTTTCAAAAGAATCCTTGGGCATACCATCACACAGGATGGATTCTTCCCACCACAACCCTATTCCCTAAAGGAGTGATACAAGTAAACAGGACAGCATAACTGGATCTCTTGTGAACATACAGTGAAAAGCACAGGAGGTGGTGGTGGGGTGTGGAACAAAATGGACAAGTTACAAATCCTGGACACTCAACCTTGTTGCAACTTCTCTTCCTCAGGAGAGGAAGTGTCGCACTCCCAGTGCTCCACTGGCAGTTCACATGTGCATTGTCAAAAGGGAACATGCCAAATTTAGCAACTAAGGTCTTTGGAGGGGCTTATGCCCTTATGGAAAAGCTGGTTTGCAGGGAGACGAGCAACTCCTAAACTGGGGGTGCACAAGAGAGAGTGGGAGGAATATATGAAGAACCCCATCCTAACGAACCAGGGGAGGTATGACAGCCAAGGGGCAGGACAACTCAGAAAAAGACTGAGGAGCAGTGACAAACATGCAGGCTGAGAAGCTCACAAAAACAGGTTCCCAATCCACCCATCCTCACGCCACAATGTCCTTCAGAGCTGCAGAGAGATCAGGGAAGATGAAATGGTAGCCACTCTCCAAGGTACGTTTCGGCACCACCCTCTGGCCCTCCAGCAGCATGCTGGCCCGCTCAGCCCCAAACACAGCCCGCACGGCCCAAGCGGGTACTGTCAGCAGGGCTGGGCGTCCTAGGGCTGCACCAAGCTCCTGAGCAAAGCTGCCGTTGGAGGTGGAAGGGGAGGATGGCGAGACACCATTGAAGATCCCTTGCAGACCCTCACTCTCCAGGACATGACACACAATTCCAGATAGGTCTCGAACGTGAATCCACGGAAATGGCTGAAGTCCAGAGCCCAAGGGGCCTCCCAGCCCCAGCCGGAAAGGCCAGAGCATGCGAGAGATGGCACCACCATCCCGGCCCAGCACTACTCCTGTGGAGAGAACAGAGTGAGACACGAACCCCCTACCCAAAGGATAAGTGCCCTCACTCCCAGACCCACGCTGTACTGTGACAGAACCTCAGCAACAAAAGGCACCCAGCTGATGTCCTTATCCCACCCCTCTCCTCTCTTGTTCAAGATCAAACCAGAGCTACCCTGAATAAAGATGATGCACCATCTCACCAGATCTCACTACAGCACCACGAGTTGGGCTCCCATGGATGACAGCTGCAGCCTCCCAGGAGCTCACCAGGCATGAGAAGAAGTCAAAATCCCCCCCAGCACTGTCCTCTGTGTACTCTTCTGTGGGGCTGGGACGGTAATAACCTGCAGGGGTAACAAGAGAAAGGGGTCAGGGTTGGAACATGACATCAAGTTCCCAGAGCGCCATAACTGCATCAGGGGCAGGAGTGTCCTCATAGGAGGGAAGCAGAGTATCTCTGACAGAAACGTTGACAGGTTTTATGCTGATAGGGTTTTTTATTACAAATAGGCTCTGCAAACTCAGCAGGATCTGCTAGCATTCAGGTTGAGCTGGCAGTCCCAAGAATCAAATGCATCTGCAAGCAAGGCATAGAAGTTTGCTCTAAACTCAGGTGCCACATATGCTCAGCTACTTCAAAGACTACAGCAAGCAGGGATGAAAAATTGGAGATATAAGGGGGGCTGCAACTCTGCCCTTGATTGGATCAATTGTTCTTGAGATCTGTTGTTCCTGCAGGACATCTAGAGGCTTATATAGGGAAACAGAGAAAATACATTAAAATCAAAAGATGGCAAAAAACTATGTGCAGCATTTCAAGGCAAGAAACATGTCTCCCAGAAGTGTTCCCAAGCTGACACGAGACATGCCTTGGCTGAGCCCAACCAATACCTACGCCGGTGATGAGGATCCATGCACGGGGCGGCTGATCAGCCTCAGTAATGGCTTTGGCCAAGGTCTTGGTGGTCTCTACCCGGCTGCTGATGATTTCCCTGCAGAAAGCATCATCCCACCTGGAGAATGGAGAGCCCTTCATCATACTGCCTACCAAGATATCCCAGAAAACAACAGCCAAGGTCCCAACAGACACCTCCTAAGCACAAGGGAGGTCACATAAGTTCCCACTGCCCCACTTCAGAGTTAGGGGAGGATGCAGGACCCTATTACCCAAGTATACTAGGACTCTGGGAAAAGGAAACTCTCTACTTTCTGCCTTGGATTCCCTTAGCACAAACATATGAGAGAAGTTAGACACCAAAGCTGTATGACAGGAATTCTAATCACATATCCAGAGGAGACATTTCTAAAACACCTCCTAAGCAAACCAAGACAGGTTTCCACAACCCATTTTGCTTCTGATTTTGCATTATTACTTATATGAAGGCATCCAGTGCCCCTTAGGATACCAGCAGCTACTTTGCCTGGTCTCCGACTGTCAATCCAGAGGGACACTTGTCTCCCAAGTTTCTGGGATCCATCAGTCCTAGAGAACTTTTTTTGGATACTTGAGGAGGTTCCCTACGCACTCTCTTGTAACACTGGGCTCTCTTGCCTTTGCCTTGCCCTCACAGTGCTATGGGAGATCAAGTTACCTGCGGAAAGGGTTGAGGACATTCTCACCAGCCAAGTTCACAACAGCATCACATGAGGGCAGTCCAGAGCGGGACAACTCTTCCTAGAAAGGGGGTAACAGAGACACTCACAATCTCCCCCCTCTTCAGACCTTCTCAACAACCAAACAGTGTGGGCTCATACAAAAAAGACCAACCATACCCTTTCTGCACTTGTGGGACATAGCCTGGAGCATTAGCATGGTTGGAAAAGATTTTATTCTCTGATCAGCAGCATTACCCATTCCCTCTGCTCTCACACACAGAGCACTTAGAAGCCCAATGCTACACTCAGGGAAGACAGATTCCCAAATGCAGACACCCTGTATTTGCAGCAGGGCAGGGTAAGCTAGCTTCTTCCTCAACTGTGGCACATTGCTCCTCCTGTGATCACTCTCATCACATACCCAGCTGACATGATCCTTGCCCCCTTGTCGAGAGATGTGAGTCACCTCATGCCCACGGATACGCAGTAACTGGGTCAAGGCTCTGCCCACAAACCCAGTCCCTCCACCTAGGAAAAAGACAGGACATTTGAAATCTGCAGCTGTGCAAGTACAGTCCCGCACTCCCCAGCCAACACGCTGCATCTGGGAACTCCCATTACCAATAGCCAGTTTCCCTGGCTGCAGTACCCCAGGGCAAGAGAGCCCTTTTCACAGTGCCCAACTCCTCTGTTAAGCACCCTGCATCCCAGTCCTGAAGGCCCCATTCCCAACACCCAGTCTCCATGCACAGTATCCTACTTTCTAGCCTAAGAGGACTTTGATTCCCAGCTGCCTTATGCAGCATGCAGAATGCAGGTCCAAGGCTCCCAATTTCCCCAAATCCATCACCTGCACAAAGCACTTCTCCCCCTGCTTCCCACCGCACATACTTAAAAGAAAAATGCACAGCCCCTGCAAGCCTGTCCCCACAGGGCCTACCTTGAGCACAGCTCCGCAGCTTCCTTGGGTGTCCCACTGATGGGACCAGTCCCACAGACACTCTACACTGCTCACAGCCTCCATTCCCAAGCAGAGTGCCCAGTGGGGGGCTGCCCCCCTGCCTCAGTCAAACAGTTTCCAGTGCACAACACTATTCCCAACTCAGAGCAACACAGAATGGTTGTGGATGGAGTCAATCTCTGGAGCTGATTTGATCAAACCTTGTTGCTCAAGCAGGGTCACCTAGAGCACCTTGCACAGGATTGCATCTGGCCAGGCAGGTTTTTAATATGTCCATGGAAAGGGCCTCCATAACCCCTCTTGGCAACTTGTTTCAGGGCTCTTTCACCCTCAAGAGTCAAGAAGTTTTTTCTCATATTCAGGTAGAACTTCCTGTGCTTCAGTTTGTAGCTGCTGCCTCTTGTCCTGTTGTTGGACACCACTGAAAGCAGGCTGTCCCTGTCCTCTTTACGCCCTCCCTTAAGATATTTGTGTACACTGGTAAGATCTTCTCAACAGCCTTCTGTTCTATAGCCTGTCCTCACAGGAGAGGTATGCCAATCCCCTAATTATCTTTGCAGCCCTATGCTGGACTCTCTCCAGCAGTTCCATGTCTCTTTTGTACTGGGGAGCCGAGAACTGGACACAGGGCACTCCATGTGGCCTCAGCAGGGCTGAATAGAGGGGGAGGATCCCATCTTTCACCTGCTGGCAAGGCTCCTCATGACGCAGCCCAGGACACCAGTGGCCTTCCTGGCCACAAGGGCAGTGTGCTGGCTCACAGTCAACTTCTCCAGCAGGACACCCAGTTCCTTCTGTGCAGAGCTGCTCTCCGTCAGGCCAACCCTCGACCCATCCTCGCATGGGGGGGTTGTTACTCCCTAACTCCCACACGTGCCCCGCTGCACTCCAGCCTCACCGCCTGCCCCGACCCAAGTCCCCCTGCTGTGCATAGAGCCTGCGCCCCGCTGCACTGCCAGGTCCAAGACCGCGCACCACAGCACCCTGCAGGGCTCCCTCCCTGGGGAACACCCTGGGGGTCTCCCTGCGGGACACCCTCTCTGCGGAGCACCCTGCGGGGCGCCCTCCCTGGGGGACCCCCTGGGGAGCTCCCTGCGGGACCCCCACCCTGCCCCCCGCAGCCTCGCACGGGCCCCCCCCGCAGGCAGTTCCGTGACCCCCGCCCCGGCCACTCACCCACCAGCACCCGCATGGCTGGAGCTAGTGCGCGTGCGCCTGGGACAGCCGCGTGCGCATGCGCGCGGTGAAGCCCTCTCCGCGGAGGAGGTGGGGGGGAAGGGAGCGGGGAGCTCCCGCCATTGGCCCGTGCGGCGGCGCCGCCCGAGGCTGCGGGCCGCCCGGCCGGGAGAAACGGGTCTGGGACAGAGTCTTGGCGGGGGGAGGCTGTGGAAACAGCGTCAGCTCCTCGCTCCCCTCCCCGGCGGAGCTCAGAACAAAGAAAAGCATAAAAATGAAGAGCTGCACAGAGATAGAGTTAACACATACCGCAAGAATGAAAGAAAATGACAGTGCAATTCACATTTTACTTAGGTGAATTAGATACAAGTTTGCCTGTTGAATACAAAAAAAATTGGAGTAAGCAAGTGTAAACAGTTAAAGGAGCCCAAGTAAAGGCCACTGAAGTGTTTCTGACTTTCCTAATCAATAATCCTGAATTTCCTAATCATGAATTCAGAAATAGGCAGGAATTGTTCTCAGCCATAGTACAGGCTCCTGTCTGCTTTTGCACGTTCTTGCCTGTTTCTCCATGTTTTATGAATAGCAGTTTGAAATCTAACACTGCCAAAATGGGATTAAACTGCTGTGAAGGCCTGTTTCTTATTGATTGCTGAGATATCATGATAAAAGGCATACACTAGTTTCTTACCATCATGGTTGTGCATAACGTGATTTTTATTGATGCAGATTTTCAAAAAAGCCATTATATGATCAGTATACTTTTAATAGTATCACAGAATCACAGAATCCAAGAATCACAGAATGGTTAAGGTTAGAAGGGACCTCTAGAGACCATCCAGTCCAACCCCCTGCTCCAGCAGGGACACCTAGAGCACGTGGCACAGGGTGGCATCCAGGTGGGTTTGGAAGATCTACAAAGAAGGAGCCTCCACAGCCTCTCTGGGCAGCCTGTTCCAGGGCTCTGTCGCCTTCACAGTAAAGATGTTCTTCCTCACATGGAAGTAGAACTTCCTGTGTTTCAACTTGCACCCATTACTTCTTGTCCTGTTACTGGCCAGCAATGAGAAGAGTTTGTCCCCATCCTCCTTACATTCACCCCTAACGCACTTGTACATGTTGATCAGATCTCCTCTCAGTCTTCTCTAGGCTAAACAGGCCAGCTCTCTTAGTCTTTCCTTATAAGATAGATGCTCCAGTCCCTTAATCATTATCTTTGTGGCCCTATCCTGGACCCTCTCTAGAAGCTCCATGTCCCTCTTGTAGTGGGAAGAGCCTACCCATGTCCTGCTATGAACCGTGCGTGCCATGCCGGCCCTGCGGGCCCACCCCGCTGGCCAACAGCTGCAACGAGCCCTGTGTCAGGCAGTGCCAGGCCTCCACTGTCGTTATTGATCCCCCTCCTGTGCTGGTTGCCCTGCCCGGACCCATCCTCAGCTCCTTCCCACAGAACACCATCGTGGGATCCTCCACCTCCGCTGCCGTTGGCCGCATCCTCACCTGTGAGGGAGTCCCCATCGATTCCGACTGCTGCGACCTCTCCAGGTTTTCCAGCCGCTACTGCAGCAGAAGGTGTCCCCCCTGCTAAAGCCACTGATGTTGGCATTGGAGAAGGACCACCAGGAATCCACATGTTGATGACAGTCTGAGGACTAGTTTGCAGGCTATTAATTTCCTAGAGGCTGAGAATCCCCATGTCCCCTTGCAAAAGGAGGGCACCAAAGGAAAAAGCCTGGGCTTTCAGAAACCCAGTTCTGAAATCCTTTTCTCCCTTTCCTTACTTTTTCCGTGTTGGCTTCTGCTCCCCTGGCCATGACACCCCCTCAGGCCAGTCAAGGCTGCACCTGCTGCACCCTCTCCTTCTGTGGGCACAGCAGACACACGCCCTGAGAAAACTCTGCCCTGGTGACAGGATTCACATTCTTGGCTGCTCCTGGTGCTCCCTGTCATGGTGACCACATCTTGGAGCAA